TCTCCCTTTCCCTTCCCGGTTGTATCGCGTTTGTCACGGTTGCGGATATAACGGAGATTTTTGCGATCATTGCGGTTATTACGATCGTGAATTTTTTTAAATTTTGTTCAACTTGCTATAAAATATAATAATTTTAATTATTAATCATAAAACCTCTTATTTTATGATTTTTAAAGTAATTTATATCATATCATATGTTTTATTTATTTAAGAAAAAATATTTATAGTAAAATATTCATATTTAAAAATTTATTTATATGATAATTAAAAAATAAAAAGAGATAAATAAATATGTGAAAAATAAATAATCATAACGAATAATATATTTAATTATTTAATTACCGTACTCATCAAATTATTACCGAACTATATTATGCATAAATCAAATAATAAGTGATTAAGTATTCATAAATTAAGTAAGAGCATTATTATTTATGAGTCAAAAGAATTGCTTTTTATGAACTTACAGTAAATCAAACTTGACAGCCTCCATGTTATGGTCGATTTTCAACAATAATAACCTCAAGTCTACTTTTCTTGTCTCTTGACTAAATTGTACAGACCCACACAACTTCTTATCCCTTCACCTTGCATTCAATAATTTTTTTTTCCAAACCTTCATCCTTCATCCCCATCTCTCAGTTCTCTTTTTATTATGTGTGTGCTATCTGCTTGCTTCTGTAAACCTTAAGTTTCACTCTCATCTCTTATCTCTTATTTTAAGTCCCAACAACTCTTGCCTCTTTCTATCAATGTAACATAACCCAATCTAATCCCAAACACACAAAATCATGGCAAATTTGAAAATTAAAAAAAAAAGATAATTTGAGTGTTGAATTAATTGTTTACTTTAAATTGCATATACTTGATTTTGATTGAAGTTGAATTTAAGAGAATTGATTTTTTTGAAAGTTTAAGTTTTGTGGGTTTTTTTTTTCTGAATTTGTAAATTGATGTTTTTTTTTTTTGTTTTTATTTTAAATTTTTAAACAAAATCAAATGATTTTTTTTTTGAATTTTTGAATGAAAATAGGAATAGCGACAATAATGGGCAATAACGGACCGTTATTACCGCTATTCACCGTTATACCGCAATTCACGATCGCGATTCATCCGTTACAGACGAAATTCAAATTCTCTCCCGTTTTTTCTCCAATAACGATGACGGATAGTGACGCGACCGCGAAATAGCGATCGCGACACCGCTATCCGACTACTATTTGAATCATTGCCTCTAACACACTTTGAGCAAAAACCTGTTAACCCAAATTTTTTGCCAGCAAGCTCACCATCTTAGAATAAGTAGTCTTGGCAACTTTCTTTCCCACTAAAAAACTTTCTCGATAGTCATTGCCGCCCTTCTATAGCAAGCTTCCAAAACCCTTAATCAAGTAAAGTCAAAATGCAGATTGATCCTCCTCTACCCATAAAGGCCTTAAACAATTCACAAGCAAAAGAGGAGAAAAATCGACCGGTCTTCACTAGCCAATGCCTGTACGGAAACCACCATTTTACACAGCACCCAAAACCAGCACTGTCAGCATCCAAGCAAAAGCCCAACACCATCAATCGTCACAACATTGTTGCATATTAAAAAACCTACCCAATGCCATGCAACCGTGACCCAAACAACCAAAAACCACCTTAAACTGCCCACTGCCATCATTATCTAAACCAAACATCAACCTCAGCACATACACACCCACTATTGACTACGAAACACCACACAAGTCCGCCACCTCAAAAATTACACAAAATAGCCAATAAACACCACCTGAACCAAAAAAAAAATTAAAAAAAACTTATAGTTAAATTCCCTGTAAGGAAACCATACAAGTAGAGAAAAAAAACAAAACAAAACAACAACAGTACCAAAAAATCGCAAATATAAAAAGAGCCTCAATTTGGAGGAATTAAAGGTGGTTTCGAGGTTTATTTTTTTGGCGAGAATGGAGGCTAGGGCGAGATAAGAGACAGAATGAGAAATGACGACAACTGGAGTGGTGGAGGAAAAGATTCCAAGCATTGATAGCCGCAGGTTTTGAATCAGTTCTAGGGAAATCTACCGCGCTTTCGGGAAAACCAACTATGAAACAAGAAAAAGCAAAAAGAGGAACATTTTGGTGAAATTTGGAAGTGAACCAACACCGATAAGTGACGATCGATGGTGGGGTGTGACGACAGCGACGGCGGTGCTGGCCAAAATCTGGGTTTGAAGGGCCTGAAAGTTGACTTTTTTATTAAGGAATAATTGAAATTGAAATTTGAAAAATAGGGTTAGACTTGTACTGGAACCCAGTGACCCAACCCAAACTAGCTCTAGAACCAACCCTAACCTGACTCAGTTTGCTTTTGTCACAGCCTGGTCCAAACCTAGCCCAATTTGTAGCCGTTAATTTGGTTCCTCCTTGGCCTTTAGTTTGACTTTGGATGTATGCCCAAAAGTTTCATTTGGGTATATTCCTTTCCTCATGACTATTTATTTTGTTCTATTTTTATTTAATTGTTTTAATGCTTGCAATTGTTATTTTGTTATTTAAAAATATATAAAAATATATATATGTTTTAGGAAACAATTATTTATGGATAATTATGTTATTACAAAATTATTATTATAAAATATTAATAAATGAGAATAAATGAAAATTTTCCCAAAAATGAGATTTTATGGAAGTCTAAATAATGATTCTTAAGAAATTCATATATGAAATTTTTTTCTAAAACACTACTAAAATATTAGGATGTTTAAAAAAAATTTTAATACAAAAGATTTCATTTTTCTTTTCCTTAAAGAAAATCATTAAATGATGAAAACAAAAAGAGTGAAAAATAATAAATAATAAACAAAAAGAAATTAAACAAGATAATAGGTAATAAATAATAGAAAGAAATGAAAAAAAAAAAGCAAGATTATCAATATTTGTTTCATTATTTGTATTTCATGCACGTATATCATGTTTTATTATTTGTATTTCATGCATGTACATTAATCTTTAAAATAATATGAATTTTTTATGATGAGATTCTAAAAAAATTCAAGTAATGATTTTTAAAAAATCTTTAGATAAGAAAATTTTTCTAAAATGCTGTCCAATAATTGGGGCATTTACAATAATTTTCAATAAAAATTTTTCATTTATTTTGTATTTATTCAAAAATAAGAAATGAATTTTTATAAAAAAGAAATATTGTTTAAATTAAATTATGTGTATCATATTTTATTATTCATATTAGAATATTGTTTTAAAAATAAATATGACCTGTCAATATGAGATTTTTTAAAAGTTATAATAGTGATTCTTAAAAAATCTCTAAATGAAAAAGTTCCTTTCTAATATCATCAAAATATTGAAATATTTTTAAAAATTTTTTAATATATAAAGTGCATATTTATTTTTCAAGTAAAATATTAAATTAAAAAAAAAGATGCTTTTGATTGCAATAAAACAAACCAACGAAATTATTTTTGAATATAAAAAATAAAATTATTTTTATCAAAGTCAATAGATAACATATGATCAATTAATATCATTTTTGAAACGGATGCTATAAGAATGCTAATTCATCTCTACATATAATCGTACTTTTAAATTTGACTTTATTTTTTTTTATAGATTCAAAAAAAATTTTTAATAAGTTTTAACAAATTTTAAAAATTTATTAAAATGATAAATTTTATAAGTAATTAATCACACTTAAATAAAAAATAATGTGATGACTTCTTATTTTGATTTTTTAAAAAACTTGTCTCATGGTCCCAAAACCGGTAAAAATAAAATATCATTTTATTAGCTAAAAATATAAATTGTTTTTATGATAAGTTTGTCATCCCAAATAATTTTCAAGTATCCTTTTCTTTTTCTTTAAAAAAAGTCAAGTAGCTAGCTAATTTATTACCCAATAGCCATCCTATTTGACTTGGCAATCCAAGTAGGTAGCGCTCTTTAATCTTTTATCAAGGAGCCATGGCCAAGAGCACGACAGCACAGGCTAAAGTCAAAGTTTCCAGAGCGGACCAAATCCTTTTGCAAGAAATCAAACACCATTTTCACCAAAAAGTTACTTAATTGATTACGTCATAGAGTTTTTTTTTTTTTCATTCCACATTCGTTTCTAGTAAGTGATGCCCAATAAATGCAAGCAAATATGTGCCACAATTCAAAACACATAAATCATGTGAAGTATAAACTTAGCTAGGGTTTATACATAAAAATTGCAACCACTTTAGCAATTGACTCAATTCAGTGTAGGTGTGTGTGTTAGCTTATTCAAATCCCTTCTTAATTCCAATTGTACTTGATTAAAAATAAATAAATAAATAAATAAAGTAGTAAGAATTATATGAGGAGATATAATTTTATGGAACTATGATTAATATAAGCCATCAAAAATAAATTCCATAAGAAAATGAACTAAGGGGTGTCGAATGTATATGGTACATGGACATTGATCCAAACAAATTTCAAAAAAAGACATAGCAAACACAAATTCAATCCCATAAAAGAATTATTGACTCTAAAATATGATTACATCCACTTATCAAGTATATTCATTATTTTCGGAACAAGTTGAACATGAAAACTTTTTAAATTAAAAGTTTCAAATCAATTTTCTTATGCAAAGAAGACCAAAATAAAGAAAAAATCGCATGTATTATAATTTGAACTCTAAATTCATTAAATATTAAATCTTAAGAGTAATTACATAAAAATTATGAATTTTTTCATATCAATCTAATAGACTGTTAGAGTGGCCTGTCTCAAGCATTTTCTTTACTTGGTATATTAATTACTCCATAAATAAGTTTACATGTACAAGCAACATCACCATTGCTATCTCTGACGTGGCAGTGACCCCTTCCACTTCACCTTAAAAACGCTTGAACAATTAAAAAGCAAAAAAGCTTGGACAATTTCAAACGCATTCGTAACACCAAGAAACCGGCCTCCGTTTCCCCCTAAAATATCACTATTCAAGTAGCCAAAGTTTACTAGATCATTTTCTTTCCCACAATAAATGGTCCTCCTTCATTTCCATTGACTTGCTCTCTCTTTATATACTTCTTGTCCCCCTTTTATTCACTGCTGCAAAATACAATAATTATGCTCTTAATTTTTTCTTGTTCATCATCATCCACCTATATTTTCCTTCGTCCTCCCACTTTTATTTTATTTTCAATACTGTCATTTAAAATTCAGTATGGATTCATCGTATTTTCCTATGAGTAAATCGCCAAGGAAAGAACTTCAAGGCCCTCGTCCAGCTCCTTTGAAGCTCCGTAAAGAATCGTACAAGATCAAGAAACCACCGTTGGCACCGCAACCAGTGCAACAACAACCGACGCAAATAAGGCCTCCAGTAATCATCTACGCCGTGTCGCCAAAGGTGATCCATACAAACCCTAGCGACTTTATGAACCTAGTCCAACGCCTTACAGGCTCAACATCATCATCATCATCTTCATCGTCTTCGAGATCTTCATCGCTTCCACCATCAACAACCAATCATCCAATATTCAATGATACCAGTGATGCAATCTCACCAGCGGCAAGATTTGCTACTATAGAGAAGACAAAGTCACCAGAAGGGAAAAAGCAACCAATATTTAGTGAAGAAAACTTTGGGTTTGTAGAAGGCATAGAGATGAATCCAGGGGTTGAAAGGACAAGTTTCTTTCCAGGGATTTTGTCTCCAGGGCCGACCTCACTACCTCCAATATCACCAAACTTTTTCTCACCACCATCTGATCCAAACTCAATCAGTTTCTTCCATGATCTGAGTCCTGTTCTTCATGGAAACAAGAATTTCTTAGAAGGTAGTTTCATGCCTAGTCCTTCGAGCTTTAATATTTCACCTTATCTAATAACATCTCCTATTACTCCATCAATAGACCTTTTCAACAATTTCTTTGACCTTTAATTTCTTTTTTATCATTTGATTTATGGGGTTTCGGAAACGAAAGAAGATGTTTGTCAGAGTTGTGGATCGCATTTTTCCACAACTTGAACTGATGCTGAAGGTGGAGCACTAAAGTGAAATGTTACTATTTATTTTGGTTAGTTAGGTAGTTGTAATCTTCTTAATGGCCTTCTCTTTTCATTCTTCTACCAATTTTAATTTGGTGGGCCATCTGATAGGGCAGTTGTGGCTCAAAAGTCCTGTGATACCCATCTTTTTTTTTTCTTTTCTGATACAATTTTTTTTTCTCATATGTAGCAGCAATGTTAATATAATTTGAAAGCATTAACATAACATTTCTTTTCTTGCAGTTTTATATTTATCCTTTTGCATCATTATTTTTTCTTGATTTCTTGCAAATCTTGTGTTTCTAGCTTTTAAAATGTCACGTTTTGATGAGTCTAAATTTTGTTTAGTTATTGTCATCAATTTAATTTGTTTTAGCTTGATAGATACCATCAAGCCATTAAGTGCAGCAAAATTGCAGTCTGTTTTTCTTCATTTTCATGTCATTTTCTTATACAATGAATAGTCTGCTTATTTAGGCTGGTCAGGAAAAAAAATTCAGGAATGAAATAGAATGCAGTAGAGCTTTTTTATTACACTTTCTTTTTTTTAAAAAAAAAAAAGAAAGCTTTTTAAGTGATCAAGAACACACAAAAAAAAGGGTCACAATAATGTTTGGTATATAAATTGAATCTACAATGCACGTACATACAAAACAGTTTTAAACTATAAAAAAATTATTAAAGAACAAGAGTTACTTCAATTTGATCTAAATTAAAGCAATTGCTTTCTTTGATCAAGAAAAACGATAAATAAAAATTTAAAATAACAAACTATAACCAAAAAAAAAAAAAAAACCATGAAAATAAAATTAAAAAAATAAAATTCAAGGTATATATATATATATATATATATTAAGGCTTCCTTTTCGCTGATGTTTTTATTTTTGTAATTTATCTCTTGTTTTTAATTTATTTTTCCTTTTCAATTAAAAACAAAAAAATAAATAATAAAAATATCAACAAAACAGAAGCTACATCGATCTCGCATCAACGGCAAAAAATAACCCTCACATACACTTGCATACACATATATTTTTATAGATACATACATACATACATGTATATAAATGAAGTTATTATTTGTATAACTTTAAGATAATGCTTTGATACTTTTTAAATATGGTCAATTCCAAGTTTCATTTTTTTTATTATGATTAACAGTTTCTTACATAAGAAAAAAAATTACTTTTTACTGGAAAAAATAATTAAATCAGAGCTTCAATATATTAGGTTGTCTGGCTCAATCAAAGTTCAATAATTAAAACCATTTTAATTTTCTGACCTTGTTTCCTACGGCCACCATTTCATCTTTTGATATACGTCCAGTAGTTGAAAATCAATACATTTCTTCAGAAGAAGGTTTTGAAAAATATTGGTTAAAGATTACGTCATGATTATTTCAAGACAATCACAAAGTTACGTCCTGTGCAAGGGGTTGGCCCTAGAAGACCAAGTCAAATATAATACTTTAATTACTGAATTAATCTTTCTATAATTATGTCTTTATTATTTTATTGCCAAAGATTCGTGGGAGAAGTTAAATAGGATCATGTCCAGTTAGATTTGAAAACTTTAACCATATGAAAACAAAAAAGTTAGATTTTGGTTGACGATCCAGATATAATTCGGTTTTATATATTAATATATCCATACGAAAAGATATCAATTTACACAATATAAAAATTTTTTATTTTTATATAATTTTTAATCATTGATTTGAATTTACTCAAAAATTGAGATTAAGTTATTTTTTATTTTTTATTTATCTCTCATCTTTTAAATTTATTAAAATTAAAAATTTAAAAAATTTTACATTATATAAATTAATCCCTCATCTTCTATCTATACGTATATTGAGCTTTTTGTAGTTTGTTTATCAACCTAAAACACCCAAAAGATTGAATTAATTTTTAGGTTAAAGAAAATTACAAGAGTAATCGATTATACGGTGAAGATTTCAAGAGAACCATTAGTTAGCAATGAAATCTTTTCAAATTTTATTTGAAAATTTTAATCATTAGATGTTCTTTTATCAACGGCTTTTTCATGAAAAATGAAAAATAAATTCAAAAGAAGAAGGATCGATCAAATTACATAGTGTAAATTTTTTTTTTTTTGTTTTTGCACATTTTTTAACATTTAATTTTAATAGATACAAAAGATGAAATTAAATTATTTTTATTTTTTTATTTTTATTTGTGTCTCTCAATTCTTAGATCTGTTAAAATTAAAGATTAAAAAAATGTAAAACTAAAAAAATTTACATTATATTAATTAATCCATCCCCAGTATAAAATATTACCAACAAAATTTTTATCAATATAATTTTTAAAAAATTAAAAATTTGTTTATCACTGTCAAACAAAACCGAAAAAAAATTCTGTCGGAATATCGTAAGAATTTGTGGCCTAGAATTTTTCAATCCTCACCTGAAACTCCTTTAATTTGATTTCATTTAATGATTATGATTTGTAGATGAAATCAGCCGTACAATATACGAAGAACCATAATCTTCTTTTACTTTCAACTAATTTAGTATATATTATGGTAAAGTTTAGACTTGAATCACTAACTTGACTATTTATTGCAACACGTGCGCAACATATAATACATGCAACTATTTCCCAAGATTTTTAGAAAAGAAACAGTTGATTTTGTATTCGAAAAACTATTGATTTTAGAAATCAAGAAATAAAAAAAGCAAGAAGCAATTCTCATCACACTGGTATGGCTTCTTATCATATACTGAGTTTGTTTTCTTTATGAAAAAGATAGTGAAGACTAGGGTAAAAATTAAAACAAAATGATATAAATGGAACAAAAAGAAACTAACTCAATTGAAGAACTTTTTAGAGAAGAGAAACTGTAACATGAAAAAGAAGAAAAGAAATAATTAAATATTAAAATTTGTATATCAGACTTAATGAATATAATTTTTTAAAATAACTATATAAATTAATTAAATTAAATTTTCATAAAATTTTTCTCCTCTCCACGAACTTGATCTACATTAGTTAAAGACGAAGCTTGCTTTGCCCTAAACACCCTCCACAAATAGCACTTCTCCTGGAACCCTGCAAAATAAATCAAATGATTCAATCCTTCTCAGCAACCCAGACACCAATTAATCAAACTTTGTGCCAATTGGAAGGTCTAACTCTGAAAGTGCAATGGCAACATGTTAGAAGTGTGTCTCGACCAAAAAAAAAACATGTTAGAAGTGTAAATTATGAGTTCTAAATCTTGAACTACAGCTCTCACGCCAAGATCTCGGTCAATCATCTAATCTACTAGACTGTTAAGTCTGGAACACAGTATTAAGGTACAAAGTCTGAAACACAGACAAGGATGATGACATAACATTCAATTAAGTATCACCTTTCATTACTCGGAAAGAAATGAAGACCAATATTTTCTTCGCTTGGCCCCCATTTCTTAAAAACTTTTTAGCCACACATCACATCTTGGGAGCAATTCTAGGGGAAGCAATCGAGGTATGCATTTTACCGTCTCACAAACTTCCAAGCATGCTAAGCTAGACAAATCTGCTAGAACTCCAACAGTAAGATTTTCATTTGGAGAGACGAAAACTTCCCGTCAACAAACAATCAGGTTCAAATATTGGCTGTGCATGTACATTACTGTGTTTTGGGATTTGGTTGCTGGTAGCCACGAGGTGTTTTAATATTAACAAACTCAACTGCTTAAATGCTCATTGATGACTACAAGAAATGTTTTATTCTTGACAGATTCCGCTCTCTCATCAATGTTAACCCTATCTGATCCTCCTGGATGTGTACATGTGTTTGAAGGAGAGGTTTTAGCTTCAATAAGTCTGACTTCTTATTAGATCTGGGCTGCCAACTCCCAATGATCTTCTCAGTGTCTCATCTTTTGCAAGATTCTCAGGATGTACCCAACAGGCCACTGTCATGTTCGCTCTTCTCGTTCTTCTTAATAAGTTTAATCTTTTGATGTCATTCTTCCCCTTTGATTTTCTAACAGAACTGCCCTTCTTCAATCCTGATTGAAAGCTGGTTGAAGGGAGAGCCTGCTGGATGGTAGATGATTCCGCAATCTTTGGTTCACAGTCCGCAAGGAACCCAACAACATACTCCTCAAAAGTTTCCAGTAATTTAGCTAAGCAATAACTGATTAAGGAAAGATAATCAAGAATTATCAAATCTAAAAGCAAAAATTAGTGAAAACGAATAATCAAGAATCAACTTACTGAAGCAAATTAAAGAATCGGTCAAGGGAGCAATAAAAAGCTAACTCAAGGTTTTTGCATTGAGTTTCCAGATTGATGCTACAACAATATTTTCAATTACACATCCATCTTTACAACAATTCCATTCTAAATAGTGAATCTCTGCCTTTGACACTAACAAAAATAAAGAAAGAAGTGATTTCATGTCCATTTGATGTTCCCAATCACCTTCAATAAGAAAAGGCACAATGTTACTATAGCACAGCTGTGATGAAATTATTCAGCATAAAACTCAACTTGAAGATTCAAAAGCAGTACATCAATCACATCACAGAAGCTAAATCCATTATTATGAAATTAAATCTTAAATCATCTATAAGCTGCAGCATTTTAGAAGATGAATAGATCATAACAGTGTCAATGATATATATTCATAACAGATAACCATCAGAGTATAATATTCACAATTAATACTAGCAAAAGGGTTGAGGTGTGAACAATAGACTCCAATAAGACCATTGACTTCATAAGAACCATAAGGAAGATTAAGGTTCTATTCTAAATTCAAATCTAGATGCCGGTGGTGAGGAGGATAAAAAAGAAGGTAAAGGATTATCTTACATGATGTAACTAGCTACTTGATTAATCTTAAACTAGTAAAAGGCCGAGATAATCATTTACCAAGAGCATTAATTAATCATGATGCAATACTCTGGCAAAGGCAAATATTTACCCAAAATTTCAAGCCCCAAGCCAAACACATTAAGATGAAATACTCCAAGCAACAACAAATAAATGTCATGTGAAAGGGCAGCAAGACAATAAACCCATATAAAATGAGGAAAAGTGGGTTATTAGGGGGGAAAATGTTGTTCCACAGCCATATGTTTTTCCGTTTCAACAAAATTATGGTTACAAAAATAATGGGAAGAATTGGAGCAAATACTAACCAATGTTGGGAGGGACAGGTATTATTGAATTTGGTTTGACAAAGGCAAACAAATATTTTAAGGAGCACTAGGATGACAAATGGTAAAACATAGATGGACAAATTGATGGAATGGAGAGAGAGAGTTTCAAAGCAATAATCAATATTTT